CAGTGGCGGATCCAGAGTCGGCCTAAGGACGGGGGGGGGGCAAAGCAGCACTTTGTGCCTACTTACAGTGGCGCTGGGCTGGCCGAGCGGCGGAGTGCCCCTATGACTCCAGTTTGGTTCTCTTTCAAGCGAGGAATCATTCGGCAACGTGTATGCTGCCAGAGGTACCCTCGCGAGTTCCCCATCTTTTTCTGATAGTGTCGTTCCTTCCTGCTCTCCGTGGCACTTTGCAAACTTAGATTCCCCTCTTACTTTTCCCTTTTTTACCCGCCGAGTCTTCTTTTCCTCTTTTCCCTTCGCGTGGGAGCCGGACGACCAGATAACGTCTCCGGGCGACTAGAACTCGCGCGTCGAGGGCGTAGCGGAGTCGGTAGCGCGCGTGGGCGGTGGCGTGGGCGTCCCGCGTTCGATCCCCGGCAGATCCGCCCGCCTTTTCTTCCCGATTTTCCCTTCCGCCTTTGTGCGCGTCGGTGCGTGGGAGAGAGACGGCCAATTAACGGTGTGGGCGCGGGACGAGCCGCGTGGACGCTGCAGACGGACGGCGTCTCGGCGGCATCCACCCTCGTCGACGTGAACGGTGTACGCGACGCGAACCTAGCACGCGCGACGTGGGCGCGAACGAATTTCAGATGGATGTCATGGGATTGGGCGTCTTTTGCCTGTGACGGCGTTGGCGTGGCGTGGCGGTGCGGGGCGTGGCGGGGCGGGGCGGGGCGTGGCGGGGCGGGGCGGCGAACAGCACTTCCCTCTCTGCTTTTGAATGAGGGAAATGTCAGCGGGGTCTCGCCTCCCGCCAACCACACACTCCCCCCCCCCCCCCCCCCCACTGGCATGCGGCGGCCGGAGCACGGGAAGGTAGGCACCGTGGCGGTGCTTTGACAGGCGAGTGCCACGGGTGGCCTACCCCACGCACGGCGGGCGCACTCCACTGTTATTCGACGAAGGTGACGTCATTTTCGTTAGAATGTGGCCTTTATCGCGGTCGTTTGAATAAGATAGGCGTGCGACGATTCAACGGAGAGAGAGAGAGAGAGAGAGAGAGAGAGAGAGAGAGAGAGGGGGGGGGGATGTCTACCGAGAAGCTGCCGGGCCCGGCGTCAGTACAGGTGGTCTGAATAATGCAGCGTCGCTTTAAAGTGGCGTGGTGCCGAACACGCTGCGTCGCGCTGCGTGCTGCTCGTGTCAGTGTGTCGGCACAGCATCATTACACGTCACGTGACTTCGGAAGCTGAAATAAGGAAATTCGGCACAAGGAAATTTGGCACTCTCAATTTATTTTCCAATTAAGTTTCACCGCTCCTTACTGAAAATAACGTAAGACTAGTCTAAAAAGAAATTTACGAGGTAACTTATTTTTTGCTCTGGGTGACAAGCTTTTGTGTACTACTTGGAAAATTCTTGTATGCGGGGTAGGTCATACAGCGCTTCGCCTGAAGTAAGAAATGCATGTTGTTATTGTTTTTCCTTCTCGTCATTGTTGTTAGTCTCGCCGTCGCATTGTAGACCGCCTTGCATTACCCGGGGAGGGTTTGGTTTAGGGAAAAGGGGGGGAGGATCCTCTGGGCAAGGCGGGGGAACCATCCCCAAACCACCACCATCCATCTATCCATCCATCCAGGGGCGGGCCGCGTCCTTCGAGGGGCCCTTGGAGGGGGCCCCTTTGGAGGCGGCTCTGTACCGTGCCCCTGAGGGGGCCGCGGAGGGGGCCGCGTAAGGCCACTGTAAGGGTGGAGGGGCCGGAGGGGCTGCACAGCCAGCCCTTCCCCTCACCACACGTGAACGCACTATGCTAGCGCAGCTGGCCTTGGCGGAGAGGCGGGGTGGAGGGGCAGGCGATCAATGCGCCGCCCCCACCCCCTCCGGTGCCGTCACTGGCCCCCCGCCGCCGCCCCCGGCCCGCCCCCGGCCCGCCCCTCCCCCTCTCATTGGCGCTGTGTGCGTGAGGCGAGTAGTTACTCCACTGCCATTCAAACCGCAGTGTCCAATGACTAAATTTTGAAATAATTTTTTATCGCAATATTTTGCGATAATATAATAACCCACCATCACATGCATTAAAAATTAACAGGAAAAATTTTGTAATTAAATCGCGCAAGAGGGTGGTTATCGAAAGGCATTGCTATCACAAAGTATAATGACCCTCAGGGTGTGATGTATGTTATGAATCGAAAACTCAGTTTTATTGCAAAGGTTTTACTAAAAGTATTTTTGTCAGTGTAGCGGACTATAAGTCTAAAAACAGTATCAACAAGAAAAGTGCTTGGGTGTTTGTGGCGGCCTTCTTGGCGACCATAAACGAACGCGTGGTCGAAAGTGGACCATGGTCTCCATGACCGTGGACCATGACCATGACCATGGGACGGTGGCGCGGATCATTGAGTCGGGCGGCGGCAGCGCCACACAGGGAAGTGGGTAGTGAAATTTGTCGACACTAGAAAGTGGTTCTCCCCCCTCCCCCTCCCACCTCGCCGCTCCCCATCCGAATACGGCTTCTCTCCGCCCAAGGCCGACTCTCTTTCCTTCTCTCTCTCTCTCTCTCTCTCTCTCTCTCTCTCTCTCTCTCTCTCTCTCTCTCTCTCTCTCGGTTGCCTACTTGGGCCTGTCCTTCCGGTGTGCCCGTTTCCGGCCGGAACATTGATCGGATTGGCCGCTTCCGTCGGGAAATGCCTCTCGCGTTATCCCGAGCCTGACCTTTCAGCATGGCCCTATTTAAAACGCACACTGTTTAGAAGAAAAATAAAACGTGTTCAGTAATGTCAGACGTGACCTGTACGCATCACGAAAGGCGTTACGCTCCGCCTAGTTTTACTAGTGTTGCTGACAGATTTGCTACTCTTTAACTCGATATACGCGGCGGAGGTTCGGGCCTAGTTTGGCCGGTAGGGGCGCCTCGCGCGCTTCGCCTGGATGTCGCCGCGCTGCACTGTCGGCCTTAATGAGGTGCTTGTCTGCCCAGCCGTGCCGCGCCGCGCCCTGCACCTCATGCTCCACGACGTGCTGCCTCCCCGAGGCTAATCGGCACCAGTCCCCGCGGGAGGCTCGGCACACGGCTGCACCACGGTGTGCCAGAAGACCGGTGGAGGCAGCCGAAACCCTAGACGCGTTTTGAGCTCCACAGTCACCAAACGGGCCTCGAACCAAACGTGTGACCCCACCAATGGATTCCTCGTTCAGAGAGCAATCCATTGGTGGGGTCACACGTTTGGTTCGAGTCCCATTTAGCGACTGTGGAGCTCAAAACGCGTCTGGGATTTCGACCGCCTCCACCGGTCTTCTGGCCCACTGTGTGCACTGCCGAAAACCGAAAACAAAGCGAGTGGAGGGGCTGGGCCGCCACGCCGAAAACAAAGCCAAATACAAGCTCACAATGAAACACCTGCCGCGCCCCCCGCCGAAAGCTACCCTGGCTCTCTGATAAGGTGGCGACACGTTTTCACAGTGCGGAGAGTCTTCCACTTGTCTCTCCCGAGAGGGTTGTTTTTTTGTGCCGGGTGGAGGGGGGAGCGTCCAGCAGCCAAGATGCCGAAGGACCGTTTCGTCGCTCTGTCTCTCTCGCACCCCTGCGGAACGCTCCATGAGTGCGAGAGAGACAGAGCGACGAAAACGACTCTCGAGCAGTGGGTCTTCCTCATTACCAGTGGCGGCTCGCTGGCTTCGGCCCGCTTCGGCCGGACGCCCTAAAATGCACCCCCGACTCGCCTCGTCCTCGCCTCGAGTAGCGAGGCGGCGCACTGCCAAACTCGACGTGCTGCACGCCGCCGCACCGCGTGCCTCACTCCGTCTCTCTCGCACCTCGGTGGACCTTGCGGACCGCCCCGTGAGTGCGAGGGAGGCAGAGCGCTCTGCAGCAGGCTCGCCCGGCCCGGCCGGCCTGCCCCAGGGCTTGCCCCAGGGCGTCGTCTCGCCCGACTCGCCTGCCGAAATTAAGGCCGTTACACTGCGAGGAATCGCCCCCGCGGCGCCACTGGAAGTGTTGACAGCGGCGTGGCCATCCCTCGGCCATCCCGGGCCATCCCTCGCGGGCAGTGACGACAGCCGCACGCCGGGCCGGAAGACCGGTGAAGACGGCCAAAATTTTAAGCGCGTTTTGAGCTCCAGAGTCGCTGAACAGGGGTCGAACCGAACGTGTGACCCCACCAATGGATTGCTCTCCGAAAGAGGAACCCATTGGTGGGGTTACATGTTCAGTTCGAGTCCCATTTAGCGACTCTGGAGATCAAAACGCGTCTCGAAATTCGTCCGCCCCCATCGGTCTTCTGGACCACTGTGAGCCGCAAGCTTTTATTCACCAGGGCCTTTTTCCTTCCTTTTTTTGGCGTGTGTTAATTATTTTGGGCCGATGCCGGGCGTCTGAACGCGCGCCCCTGGCGCAATCTCATCGAAAGAGATAACCTAATAGAGACGCAACTCATCTGGGGGCCGGGCGGGGTGGGTGGGGGTCGCCCCAACGCCTCCCTCGCCGCTGTCTCGCAGTCCTTGACGTCCTTGACGTCCTTGACGCTGCACTCGGCGAGACTCTCCGAGACTCTCCGAGACTCTCCGAGACTCTCCGAGACTCTCCGAGACTCTCCCACCAGCAGCACCAGTAATCCGCCGTCTGTCCTCTGAAGACTCATTCCGAACCGTGCTTTCGTCGCTCTCTCTCGCTCGCACTCTTGCTGGACGCCCTATGAGAGCGAAAGAGAGAGAGAGAGAGCACTCCCCCTCGGAATCAGTCCGCTGGTCCTCCGCTGTGGCGAGGACGGGGCTGCCAGCCCCAATGATGTACTTGTGGCCGGAAATGGGATTATCAGTCCCCGCCACGGCGCGCCACCCCCAGATGGGACACTGTGTTGTTTTTATTTTTTCAATTAAGACACTTGCCGACAAGGGCAAAGGGTGTGGACCGGCTGGTCCGATTGCCGCTTTTTGTTGTGTTCACTGCAACACTGTAAAACCGTCCGGGGGGTTGTTGTTGGGGGTTTACAGCGTAAGGTTTACAACGACGTTTGTTTTTGCAGGCACCATGATAGACCCCAGCTCGTCCGAGGAGGACAGCGAGGACGAGCGGCGGGCAGGGGAGCCCCAGCCCGTGCCGCTGCTGCCCCCGGGACGGCACCCGCGCGCCACCCCCCAGCACCACCCCGCCGCGCACCCCGCCGCGCACCCGGCCGCGCAGCAGCAGCACCACGACGACCACCGCCAGCACGGCCAGCACGGCCAGCATCCGCCCCACCAACAGCAACAGTCCAGCGCGCTCGAAGTGCCCGGGGCAGGCCTGCCAAGGTGAGTTCCAGTGTGTCTGTGCCTTGACACCGCATTAAACGGCCTTGTTTTCAGCGGGGTGCGGCTTTTCCGGCTGAGTCCGTCGCGCCGGCCTTAACTGTGACTGACTCTTCGTTTTGTGAAAACCTTCAAACGATCGCGTCTTACTCTGAATGTCTTGAGATGATAAGGAGGAAATGGCGCAAGCAAAATACAAGCGTAATTTTTCTTCGTTTTTCGAATGTTTTAACACGTATTTTACAATGAAAATACCAGGAAGATTCGCACTACAGAGAAATTTTGTGTCGTATTATGCTTGCTCCGAATTCACTGTAACTATAACGAGACACTCTATGTGTTGCCTTTAGTCTTTCGGCTCGTGATCTGTCCTTCTTGGCGTGTGGTGGCGGGGAACCAGTTGCGCGTGCCTCGTGCTTGAAGGCCTCGAAGGACACATGGCGAGGCAGGCGAGGACTCGGACGCCCTCGCGTTGCCTGTCCCGCTAATCCCATACTGCGGGGGAGATTACCGCCAAAAAAGAGAAGGAGAGGAAGAAGGCCAATGTGTCTCTTGCCCGCTCCCAAAGGCTTCTTGTCGGCTTTTCTGTGTTTCCCTTCCCGTTTTACGTTCTTCGGGGGCCGCGCGCAAACCATGGGTGACGGGGTTGCGAACTATCTCCCCCTCCTCCCCCCTTTTCTACTCGTGAACCTTGCCATCACATGTCTAACCTAACCTGCTCCTTTAATTACTGTGGGCGGTGACGTGTACCCCCACGACCTCCGAAAAAGTCTCCTGGTTTATGCACGTTCCTTTCCGTTCATTTAAAGTTTCCCTCCAGCCCCCTACCGGCTCGAGAGTCCTTTCGGCTTTCTGCGGGGAAGTTTAAAGTTTGGTTGCTTTTCAGGCCACAGACTGCCGGAGCCAGGGTCCCCCTCGACGTACCTCCGCCGCATCATCGGTAATGCTTGATTTTGTGTGCGCCTCGCTTCCCATCTCCCCGTTGGTGTGTGTGGTAGCGTCTGTCTGTCTGTCCGCCTATCTCTCTAATGCGTCTCTCTGTTTGCCAGTCTGTCTTTGTGTAGATACCTCCTTCCCCTGTCCGTGTTGTGTTTAGCCTCTTCTCGGTGTTGTTGATTCTCCTTTTAAAAACAAAAAGAACTTCCTTTGTTGCTGTTTGTCTTGTTTGTGTTTTTTGTACTTGTTGCCGGGTATAGTAAAGTGATTGATCTGCGCAGAGCGATCTGGATTGTAGAGTGGTGCTTTCTTTGGTAGTGCAAGTCGCATTGATAAAGTTACATTTTGTAAAAAGTCAGTCCTTTTGTTTCTTTGGTGTGACGTCGGTGCCTGTGGTGTTAACTTGTGTTTCTGACCTTCTAAATGGTGTTAATGGTACTGTTGAAGCTTAGCGAATGGCTTTTTGCTTGGAGAAACGGTGCTCAATGCATATTTTATGATGACTTACTTTGTTGTAAAGATCACCCATGCATTAAGCGCAGTTTTGCCTGGTTTCTTTTGCTGCGTGTACTTAATCGTTGTAAATGCCACCTATCAATGCAGCTCGCCTGGTTCCGTTTCGCTACGTGTGCTTAAACGTTGCAAATGCGGCCTATCCATTCAGCGCAGTTTCCCCAGTTTGCAGTATCTTCCTGTCCTGTGTGAAGCGGATTTCGGACGAGTTTTTGTGTCTCTTGCCTCGGTAGTCGGTGTCGTGGCATGTGCGGCTGTTGAACTTGCGTTTTGAACGAAGATTAGGCTGGACTGGACTTACTGCCAAGAGAGACAAAGCCTTACTGAGTTTCCATTTGCAGTCGGTCGCTGTCGCCCGCCTCGGCAGTGTCCGCGGAGACGCTGAGTGTTGCCACCGCGGCCTCCAGGACCAACTCCCTGCCCAGGCCCGCCAGCCCGAGCCCCTCCGTGGCCAGTGGCAACGCGCAGGACCTGCAGGTATTTAGCCAACCGTTTTACTTCCCCTGTTTCTTCGTCATACTAAACACACCAACACCCTTAAGTTTAAACAAATTCTTAATTTAAAACAACCTTTGAAGGTTCAATAACTGTCCTATTTTGTTTTCTGTTGAACACACTGGTCTTTTAACAAAACCCCTAAGCTCTCTCTCTCTACCTCCGTCTCTCTCTGTCCTCTCTCCTAACCATTGCCTTCTTTCACACCGTTCTACCAGCAGCAGGATATAGATCCATATGTGAGTACAAGCTGTAGTCGAGTCAGGCAGATAGACTACTCTTCGCACTCTGCAGCGCGAAGCTACCTGTGGAACGCACCTTTGTAGAGCTTTAAGCTTCGTACCTGGTTTTCTGTCTTTACTGGTATAGCTAAATCAGCTCTCTTAAGACCTCGGAGCATTAACTCAGTAGTATGCATTTGGAATCTCCTGCGGAGGTCCGGCAAAGCGATCAACTCACGGTTGCTTAATTCTGACTTACGCACACAATATTCACTTTATTTTCTTTCGAAGTGAAACACGTATCTTTAAATAGTAAATTACATCAAAATAGATTTGGCATTTAGTTTTGCCCTTAGATCACGAGTCTGTAAAGCAGTTGACTTAGCATCTATTTAGTAAGAACAAAAAAATGAGTTGAGTGAATAAGGCTACGGAACAAAATTACTTTACTACATGGTGGTGGATATCAGTTGGCTGTGGGCCTGTTTTTAACCCTTTCCAACAAAAATAAACACAGCAGCTATACCTATTTTTGTAAAGCTGAGGTAATAATGATAACAGACTGTCTCATTTATCGTGGCTTTTTTTTACAGGAACGACAAGAACGAGAAGAAGAAGAACGGAAAAGACGGATCCAACTGTATGTGTTCATATCCCGATGCATCGCCTACCCTTTCAACGCCAAGCAGCCGACAGACCTCACTAGGCGCAACATGAAAATTACCAGAACTCAACTCGACCAAATCTTGCTGAGGTTCCAGGTTAGAAGACCTTTTCCACACTCATTGGCCTTCTTTAATTATTTAAATATGTGCTGACGTGTTGAATTTGTGTCGCAGGCGTTTATGAAAGGTGACACCCAGATCATGGCCGACGAAGCCTTCCAGAACGCTGTCGCTAACTACTACGAAGTGTTCCTTAAGTCGGACCGCTTGACGAGTATGGTGACCTCCGGCGCCTGCAGCCAGCACGACTTCAGAGAGGTTTTTAAGAATATGTGCGAAAAGAGAGTCCGGTGAGCATACTTTTTCAGTTTCTTTTCAAACAGCAACATATCTTGTCCACCCAGCCAAACGAAATGTGTTTTGTCCGTTTACCAGATCGTTGCCAGAGGTGGACGGCCTAAGCAAAGAGACTGTGCTGGCGTCGTGGATGGCCAAATTCGACTGCATAATCAAAGGTGGGCTGCAGTGCTCTGTTGGTACCTAGATGGTCGTTTAGCCCGATTCAGAAGTAACAATTATTGCTCCTCTGTTTGCAGCAAACGACGACGACTCCAAAAGACCTTCCAGGATGCAGCAACCGCTCAACAGCGAGCTTATCCTTAGCAAGGAGCAGTTGTACGACATGTTCCAACAGATACTCGGGGTGAAAAAGTTCGAGCACCAGCTTTTGTTCAACGCGTTACAGGTAAGTACTGTCTGAGGCGTAGTGGAGTTAATGTGACCACGTTCTAAAAATCAATGGCTCTTCTTTTTCTTGCACAGTTGGACTCGGCTGACGAACAAGCAGCAGCCATTCGGCGAGAGCTCGATGGTCGAATGCAGAAAGTGGCGGAGATGGAAAAGGTAGAGTGGGCGGTAGATTGGAATCACGTTGTCTCGTCAGTACGTTGTTTGCACTTCTAGTGGCTCTCACGGCGTTTGAAAACTTACAGAACCGGAAGTTGATGCCAAAGTTTGTGTTGAAAGAGATGGAATCCCTCTATATCGAGGAGTTGAAAACGTCCATAAACTTGCTTATGGGAAATTTGGAATCACTTCCAGTTTCAAAAGGAACTATGGACTCGAAATATGGGCTGCAAAAATTAAAAAGATATAACCACAGGTACGTACGAAGCCCCTGGTTTCGGATCCTTTACATTTTGCATGGGCTTCATTATTTCACATATAAATAATTTTATCAGTAGAGTATGGGGTGGGGTTTACTGACTTGGAATGCTTTGTGAATAAATTCACGCAATTGTAAATAAGTATCACAATAATGGGTTGCACTGAAATGGAAATATAGTAAGCTACATTGTAGCCCTATGCAACTCGTGTGCCGGCTACCCCGGTACTAGCACATTCTTTGTATAATGTCATGTACATAGCTTTTATCCCTTCCTGCAGCATGAAAATCCTGCACATAGTAACGTTTCCGATCATCCGGGGTAATGTGGGTCATTTAGGGATTCCCACTTTTTTCTGAACGCACGAAACCCGGCCCAAGCACTACCATGTCCCATAGTTCATTGGTTCGTGGTTTCGATTGATTTCCTTGAAATCATCATCTTCTTCGATTAATGTAGACTTGCCATGTGATTGAGTTTGAGTCTGGCTTGGCCGGATGGTTGATAGAATCCCTCAAATTTGACGCCCTATCTTGTAAGGAAGCATTCTTGGTCATGTAAATGAGAGAACTGGCGAATAATTGATGACGTTAAATAAAGTTGCATTTTCCGAAGTTTTAAATGAAACATGTGTAAAGTGCTAAGTCCATGCACCTCGCAATATCTCTTTGCTGAAGAACTGAGAACTGGCAGTCGCGGAACGAATACGTACATGAATACACGTGACAAAATGGTGTGTAACAGTGTAGGCGTGCCGAAGTCGGTTGGCATTATGATTCGCGTTTCCATGGTTTGGGAAATTGAAGAATCATGGCACGTTTTGTTTTTGCTGACTTCTCCTCTTCGCGCCTATTTATGGCACACTATCTTCCGAAGGGTGATTAACGGAACGTTTTTCCACCAATTTATTTAATAGCTTTTTCACTTTTTTTGTTTTGCAATCACCTGTTTTTTCTGCCGTTACAAAAACAAGGAGAATGTTTTATTTTTGTTTTTGAGTTCTTTGTTCTTCTGCGCGAGACAATTTTATTTATTTTGGTTCAACGTGCAATCCACTGAGGCTTTTGTCATGCCTTTTTCAATATTCTTTTTTTATAATTTAAACTACTTTAATAGTTCAGCTACCAGCTTGTTCGAAACTTTTCTTTGAGTTTTGCGAATGCGGCTATTCAATTTTAGTGCCGTTTCAATGTTTTAATGTGGCGCCAAACTCGCATCCCCATTTTGGCGCCAGTTTTGATTTTTGTCAGTGGATGCCACGTTGCCTTATGAGCTGTGTACTAACCTTATGTCTGTCTCTTTCTTCTCTTGCTGTCCGTTAGTCGAAGGAGAAGTTCTGTCTTGAGGCAGGTAGAGCTTCGGCATTTTTTGTTCCTAAGTTACCATTAAGCCTCTTATAATTTGTGAGTAAGTCACGCTTACGCTCGGCAAGTCGGGACGGACCGTTCCAAAGCTGGCCGAGCGGAGGCAGGGGGCAAAGCACGTGTCTGGACCTGGCGCGGTGAAGTCCAAGACGAGTTTGTTGGCTTTGCTCGCACCGTCCTCGTGCTTCGTCGCACGCTCGCCTCGGCCGGCGGCTGGGCCCTCGAGACTGCCCCATTTGACTGCCCGCACTTTGCTTGTCCGCATCCGTAGTCGAGGCACGGAGGCACCAATCACGGTCCGCGTAGAGTTAGCGACTTCTAGGCTGTACGTGTGTCTGTACTGTCTGTCGTTTAAACTGGGTTTGTGTGTTCGGGCGGGCACACGTCCTGCGTCTGTTATCCCGCCGTACCTGCTTAAAAACTTCTACTCAAGTCAAGGGGCAAATGACTACCCCCCGTGCTCCACCTCTGTTTTTTGGGGAAATTTATTTTTCCCGTGGAGCCGCTTGAAGAAAATGTGCGCTCCCTACCTTTCCTTTCCCCTTTTCAAATTTTAAAAGAGGGCAATCCTTTTTTTCCTGTGTCACATTTCTTTCCAGTGCGCTGCCAGAAAGACTTTAAGCATATTGTTAACGTTACAGAAACTCCTGTGGAGAAAAGTGGAGCAATTTTCTTCGCAGTTCCCAAATGATAATGCACGCGACATGAGCGCGCTCGGAATCATTGATTGCCTGTTCTCTCCTTGCTTCGTCTTGACTTCAGTCTTCTCTTTCCTGATGCATGTTTCTTTCTCTCTCTCTCTTTGGTCTGTTTCTTACTCTGCCTGCTCTAACAATTTGTCGTTCCTCTGCAGACTACGCGCCGCAAGGCACACGTTGTTATTTTTTTTTTTTGGGTTAGTCAGTCTTTGTTAATAAACGGGACCAGTTGAACATTAAAAGCGTGTGCCATGTGCGGTGCCTGGTCAGAGTGCATGATTGAATGTTTATGGTGAGCACTGTGTTTGTACCGTTCCCAGCTCCCCCTGTTGCCAGCTGCTCCCGCGCCAGTTTAAAATTGAAACACACAACAAACTAGGCAGTTTGCGGAAGGTCCTGTTTCACAAGGGCCGTGCCTTGACACACGGTCACACACACTTCCAGCGTCAGTCTTGTACACTCTGCAAAAGGAGTAGAAGAAGAAGTAAGACAGTTGTCTCTGAGAGTGCCATGACATCCTCGGAAGAGTGGGGCATTCTCATGAGTATATTTGTCCATTTCTATATTTTGGCTTTAGAATGTTGGGCTCCGTGTCTTACCTGTCAATGAGTGTGACCGTTGTCCCACTCTTACTTGCCAGCAGAGTAGCTAGCGCTTCAATGCGCATTGCATGATCTCTAAGCGCTGTGCGCGCCACTGGGCAGGCTTGCCTTGCAGTATTTTGAATGCTGTTTGCAAAATATTTGTCTTGCTCACAAAAAAGTTGAACCACTTTAAATACGCCACAAAGGCCGTCGAGCCTTGACGTTTGTTTTCTCTCTCTTTTGGACGGATAATACTCTCCTTCTAGATGCCCCTGTGTGGTAGTCTTTGTGTGTGTTAGCTAGTCTGTGGAGTTTTCATTTAGCATACCCACAGTACAGAGCAACTGAGGTGCCGCCTTGTATTATTCTCACTGTCACAAAGGGCTCTTCTCTGAGCCCGGTGCATTTCTATACTTGGTCCACTGTCAATGACTTAACCTTCCGCAGGTTTTCACGTCAGAGCTTTAAAATGTCCGTTTCGCAAGACTTCGTCATATAACGCATCTTGTCTGTCACTGTCACACTATCACCCACTCCATACCTCTCTTTCTCTCGGCACCCACTTTCTCTCATTTGCAGTCTGCTGTCGCTACACACTGTGCGTAAACTCTTCATCCTACTCAAATAAAAGAAATCAAAAGAGACCTTCCTGGACTGCCCAGTTTGCATGCGGCGGTGGGGCAGCGGGCGGCTCGGCAGGGCTCGGCTGGGCTGTGGCTCCATTGGGTGGTTATTTGTTCGGCAGACAGCGGCCCGAGGGCCAGCAAGGCCAGCAAGGCCAGCACGGCTGACAGATCTCTCGGCGCCTCCTTTGCGGCGGCGACGGCGGCGCCGGGGCACTGCTGATGCTGCGTGGTCTAATTGGTTTATGTGGTGACAGATCCCAGGGCTCCTTGGCCAAGCTGGAGGGTGACTCGGCCGACACCGACACTCAGCTCTCGAAGCTCGATGTCGTGTTGACCTTCCAGCTCGAGGTGAGCGGGTTGCGTATTCTAGTGCACTTGAGATGATATGCTTTTCTTCACCAACTTGTTATTTGACTTACATTTCTAAAAGAGAAACATAATTAAAATTCTGATAAAATCATGCTTTTATCCACAAGGAAATTATAGCTTTTTATCTGTGTCATATGTAAATCTTATTTTACACGTTTGTATTCATTTTATGAATTTGAATATTTATTTTAACGACGTAATTATTAAGTCTTGCTTTGAGAACCAAATTTAACTGTTGCACACGCTTGCGAGAGATGTTCGTCCTCTCCAAGGAAAGCTCTGTTGTTTTCTGCAGGTTGTTGTGATGGAAGTCAAAGGCCTTAAGTCCCTTCAGCCCAATCGCATAGTGTATTGCACCATGGAAGTGGAAGGAGGGGAAAAGCTGCAGACTGACCAAGCGGAAGCCTCAAAGCCAATGTAAGTCGCCATTGCGAAATTCCATGTCAACCAACAAAAGAAACAAGCATTTGGAATTTTAACATTGATTTTTCAGGTGGGACACACAAGGAGACTTTTCGACCACACACCCATTGCCTGCCGTCAAAATTAAGTTGTACACAGAAAATCCTGGAATGTTAGCACTTGAAGACAAAGAATTGGGAAAAGTTATTTTAAGGCCAACTCCGGTGTCGGTTAAGGTAATTTCACACGCTTTCCTGAAATCGATTTATTTTTAACTGTTTCCTGACTGTGACTTTTTACAGGCACCCGAGTGGCATAAGATGATAGTACATAAGAATTGCCCAGACCAAGATTTAAAGATAAAAGTAGCCTGTCGAATGGACAAACCGCTCAACATGAAACACTGCGGGTAAGTATCGTCATGATAATCCAAGACGGATTCCAATTTTCTTATTGTTTTTTTTTTAATGAAAATGATGAGACACAAACCTTCCCGTTTTACTGTTAGCATGCAACTAACGCTCCAATGGTTTCAGATACCTGTACGGGGTCGGCAAGTCTGTATGGAAGAAGTGGAAGAAGCGATACTACGTGCTGGTGCAGGTGTCGCAGTACACGTTCGCACTGTGCACGTACAAGGAGAAGAAGACGGAACCGGCAGAGATGATGCAGCTAGACGGGTACACGGTAGATTACATAGAGCCTGCCAGCGGTGAGTGGTCCAAACTTCATTCGTCACGCGACCCAGTTCCATGTAAAGTGAGTCCGGTTTATTTGCACTAACATACGTGTTTTCATTTCCCAGTGAATTCGTTCGCGTCGCAAGTCATGACGGGGTCCTGTAAGTACCAGTTCGTGCTCCTTGTCTTCCCCGCTAATTGTCGCAGCCTGTCCCTCTCACAGTGTGCTTGACCTCCCCGCAGCGGACCTGGAGGGCGGCCGGCACTTCTTCAACGCCGTCAAGGAGGGTGACAGCGTGCTGCTGTCCTGCGACGACGAGAACGAGTGCCACTTGTGGGTCATGGCGCTGTACAGGGCCACGGGCCAGAGCCACAAGCCGGCCCCGCCCATCACGCCCGCCAACAAGAACTCCACCATCTCCAAAATACAGGGCGGTAAGAAACGCGGTCCCTTTTTTTAAAAGCACGTCTGGCAATAATATTTTTGCTTTTGTTTCACATGTTTTTTTGCGGTGCTCTCAGACGCTGACCGGGCACGGAAGCACGGCATGGAGGAGTACATCTCCGCCGACCCGTGCAAGTTCGACCACGCCACCCTGTTCAAGATGCTGCAGACGCTCACGCTGGACTACCGGCTCAACGACCCCTACTGCTCACTGGTAAGGCGGGGCGCACAGTGGGCCAGAAGACCGGTTATCGAAAAAGTGACTAACCCGCGGCCTTCTTGGTGTGCGCAGGGGTGGTTCAGCCCGGGCCAGCTGTTCGTGCTGGACGAGTACTGCGCGCGGTACGGCGTGCGCGGCTGCTACCGCCATCTCTGCTACATGGGCGACCTGCTGGACCGCGCCGAGAACAACATCATGATCGACCCCACCGTCATCCACTTCAGCTTCGCCTTCTGCGGGAGTCATGTGCACGGCAACAGGTGGGTGGCCGCGCGACGGCGCCACTGCAAGATTCGGAATGTGTTTAGATTCCTGTGGGGCCGCCGGGGCGCGGGGGCCGGGTTTGAGTCGAGACCCTCGCCGTCTTTCGTGTGGCATCCCCTCAGGAATAAGAGATTAGTTGCATTTTCCATCTAGACGTGGTCTGTGTTTTGTATATATATTTTAGCATTGATGTCAAGGTGGCTCGGACGTGGCACTGCAGGCAGCCCTGTGAGCAATGCGTCGTTGGCTGTTGACGTGTTGAAATGACGTCAAACTTTCGACTGAGCATTGTTTGCAGAGTGTTTTTTTGTATAACACTGGGCTGGTGGAACGACGTCGTTCCGATGCTGCATCGCCTCGGAGTCGTTCCCACGTCTCAGTGTTGCAAAGCCTGCAGTGACCGTTCTCCCCACTCCACGGGTAACGGATTCCAAGACAAGTTTTGCTTGGCTGTCCAACGCTGAGACAGTTCGCCAGGTTGAGCGTAGCCTACCCGTCTTTAGAATGCACCCCTTCTTTCCGTACGACAAGCTACTGTCATCTGTTCCTTCTAAGTATTTCACGAATCCTTTGTGTGTGAGGCTATAACATACAATGCACTGTTTTGAATTTTCCTATCGTACCCACCTTTCCTCCTTCGAAGCAGCTGTGGGAGCCGATTCACTATGAACTGGCTTCTCTTGTGTGCCATGCATGCTGAATGTAGTCCAATTGAGGACAAGCACGAAACAAAGAGTATTTTCTTATAAAATTGCCTGAACAAGGACAAGCAAGTGAAAGGCGCGCTCCCGCAGCTGGTCGCTGGTGTGGGAGGAGTTGTAACCTCTTCTGTTCTAAGCCAGGCGGTAGATGAGCTGGTAGCCTGACGCGTGTTTCTGTCCTATAGCGCCGAGATTCAGGAGGACAATACTCCAGTGGTCAGGTTTGTATCTGGGCCTGGTGTGGGTCTGCACGCCGCTCGCTCGTTTTCACACTCGCTTTGAATGCCTTGTAGACTTGATTGTTTTTGTACTGGTTTCAAAAGCGCCGGGCGGGCTGAGGAGAAGAATTAATTCTGGAGTTCCTCTTGCTTGAAACATTACCTCGTGCAGCTCGCCCGACGCTGTCTGTGTCTTAACATGGTTTGTTTTCTTCTCGCTGTGGCAGCGTGGTTCCATTCGTTCTTGAATTATCGTCAGAGTAACGCGGAGATACCTCGAAGCAAAAGACTAACTGTGAAAGATCAAGTGATGACCTTAGCAGCATTCGTAGCAGTAGCCGCAGTACAGACTTGTCTGCAGACGGGCCCGAAAGCGGTATTGTCGGGACCCGAGTACTCCGGTACTCAGCCTTTCTTTACCCGCCTCTACCATTCATTTGCGTTGAGACACTCTTTAGTTTTCGGCCATTCTCCGAAGCGAAAGTATTTTGCACTGCACTGGAAGTCAGAAAAGTCGCAACTGGTTCACGAAACTGAGCCTCCGGTTTCGTGCCTCCCGTACTCCCGCTTCGGAGGCTAATTTCTATTCTTTCTCAATTCAAAACAAGAGACTGCGTGTGAACCTACACTACAAACGCACGGGTACACTTTTTCTCCACCAAGGGTTAAGATCTCATGATGCTTTTCACACATTCACACTCGCTCTCACGGTCTTTTTTTGATCACTCGCTTACCCCGAAAACAAAAACTTTCTTTTGTTTCAATCATAATTTCTAAGTTGCGCTTTCATTGAATCATTTTTGTTTTACAAAGCGGACCTACCCCAGTAGCAACTTCCCAATCTAAAACTGCGCTGTAGAAATTGATTATTGCGAATATTTGAAGGTAATAGAGCTACAAGTATAATGCCATTTCAATCGCTACTTTTTAAACCAAATGCATGCTGGATGCTTAGTGCCCACAAACATACAGCTGCTTAGATAATATTTTTAAAACGAGGTACCCGCCCTAATTTCTTCATGGAAGCTGCATTTACGTTGGCATATCTCAAATTAATATTAAATCCAGACCAAAAGAAATACGCTTAAAGTATCCTAAATCTTAGTTTTATCTGAAAAAGTTATAGATACTCGCCCGACCTGCGAGGAAAAGAACTGATCGCTGCTTTCTTAATGGGCATTTGGTAGCTTTGCATTGTGGGATGCATCACTGACATGAAAATTTCGGCAAATTTTAAGCCATTTGTATGCGCAAAAAATTTAAAAATTTACCCCTTGAATTTTATTTTTTTTGACACAGAAAAAAAGTGGTACGCCATTCCAGCGTCGAAACTCCGCGTTCAACGGCGTGTCTAATGTTGCGTTGTGCTTTTCTTAGGCCTGACGGCGTCGGCACCGTCACGCACGAGGAGAAGGAACGGTTCCAGGTCATCAAGGAACGCCTGAGGATCCTTCTGGAGCACCAGATCACCAACTTCCGGTAAGTACGCTCAGCAAACGCGGGTTTGTGTACGGCACACTGTTCTAAACTGTGTGCTTGTCAGCCACGTGCTTCTCAGGCACACTGTTTAGAACAGTGTGCCCGGAGGCGCACACAGTTGCGTTTCGCAGAGCAGCCGACTTCCGGCTGTCGCTTGCTTTTTCCACTTCCGGTGCTGACGACAGACTGTTTCCTTGCGCAGGTACTGCTTCCCGTTCGGCCGGCCCGAGGGCGCGCTCAAGGCCACGCTGTCCCTGCTGGAGAGGGTGAGACGACGAGCCGCGTCGCCTGCATTCCGTCTCTCTCGCTCCCTCACGCCCCATGAGTGCGAGAGAGACGGAGCGATGAGAGCAGTGCGACTCGACACCACACTGCACAGTGGACCAGAAGACCGGTAGAAGCGGTCAAAATCCCGAACGCGTTTTGAGCTCCATAGTCGCTAAATGGGACTCGACCCGAACGTGTGACCCCGCCAATGGATTGCTCTCCGAACGAGGAATCCATAGGTGGGGTCACACGCTCGGTTCGAGCCCTGTTTGGCGACTCTGGAGCTCAAAACGCGTCTAGAGTTTTGGCCGCATGCGCCGGTCTTCTGGCCCACTGTGCGCTGGCCGCGCGTTGCTACACTGTTGCTGTTGTTGTGCAGGTGCTGATGAAGGACATCGCGACGCCGGTCCAGCCGGAGGAGGTGCGCGGCATGATCAAGAAGAGCCTGGAGACGGCCGCGCTCGTCAACTACACGCGCCTCTCCGCCGAGGCCAAGATAGAGGGTGAGCTGCACGCGCTGCACGCCGCGCCGGGCAGGGCCGTTCAAAAACCACGTAACAACGCGATGGACACACTACGTGGCCTGGCGTTCACTACCTGTTGCGGTCCTTGAACCTTCGTGTCAAACAATTGAAATCTAAGATTTTACGGGCTGCGCGTTCGGTCTCGATGTATCATTATGTCCAGGAGCCTTCGCTATGGCTCTGAGTGCTCGTCGTGTTCTACGCCTCTGTCCCTCTTTCCTCTACTCTTCTGCGGTCTCTTCGCTTTGGTTGAAGCTGCTTCTGCAACACGCCGTGTGTGGAGCGACCCACGCCCCAAAGTTACTGACGGAAAAGAAAAGTCGGAGTTGGTGTCCGAACCCAGGACAGAGCCACTTGAGCTTGATAGCGAGCCTGCGCTTGCTGGCACCATAAATTTATTCCTCATCCCAAAACTTGTGTGCTCGTGAATTTCTCGGAGAGTATATGTCGTTTCCGTTGAAAAATACACGGTCTTTTATTGTGCGAGTTTTGTCGTGGGTTCGAACACCAGCTCCGCGTCGTTTTCCCCTCCTGTGTGGCCCTGTGTGTGTCCCCCTCTTGACCCAGCCTCACGCCAGAGTGTAATTCTCTTTCTTTCTTCTGTGCTCCTTCAAGGTGGCGAGCCGCAAATGCAAATGCAAGGTAACCCACCCTCTTTTGGTGCGTCTTCGCTTCACCGCCCCTTGAGCGTCACACCGTGCGTCCTTCGGGCGTCTTCGAGTCCCTTCGGGGGTACCTTTGGGGTGCCTTCGGGTGCCCTCGGGCTCTCGGATGACGTACGCTGTAGTGCACGAAGGGCTGAGACTCAGTGTTGCCACAAAAGCCAGCGCAAGTTCCCACGATGCACCCTTGTCGCAATGGGTGTTTGGTGGGAAATTCTGCCCACTCGTGTGGCAACACTGTCCGTGACTTGGCTGCGTAGTCTGCTTTGGTTGGGAATGTGCGACGGCACCGTAGGGATATTTGAGCGCGTCGGCACGGCCGATGCTGACCGCACGCCGCCTGCGGGACGACGGGTAGGCAACGCGCTCGACAGACGAGTTCGGAGGATTGCCTACCCGTCGCCTGCCGGGCGGCGGGTAGGCAATGCGCTAGGCAGGCGAGCTCGGCGCGTTGCCTACCCTCCGTCGCGCAGGCGCTACCGCGTTTCGCCGTCACTTAGTCATTGCTTGGTTCTCTTCAACGGTGTACTTTCTCGCGCAGTCTCGCTTCTTTTCGTTTCCTCTTCGTCCTGCTGGCTCCTTCCTTGCCATCACGCCCCGCCGCGCCCCGCAGTGGGCCAGAAGACTGGTAGAGGCGGTCAAAATCCCAGACGCGTTTAGAGCTCCAGAGTCGCTAATTGGGACTCGAACCGAACGTGTGACCCCACCAACAGATTGCTCTCCGAACGGAGAATCCATTGGTGGGGTCACACGATCGGTTTTAGTCCTGTATAGCGACTCTGGAGCTCAAAACGCGTCTATAGTTTAGGCCGCCTCTACCGGTGTTCTGGCCCACTGTGCGCCCCTCTCACGCAGCCGGTCTTGTGTTTGCAGACGACATGAGCGGCGAGATGATGGTGCCGCCCGGCAAGAAGCTGGAGGACCTGATCAACCTGGCGCAGAGCTGCGTGGAGCTGCTACAGCAGAACGAGGAACACTACGCCGAGGTAGGTCGCCGGCAGAGCACCGGCACAGCACTAGCACTTTCATTAAGTTTCCGCAAAGGGAGCCGACCTAGGCACCCACGCGTCGCTTTAACCAAACAAAACTGTTCTTTTGCAGGCTGCTTTAAAAAAATAATTCTCATGTCTATAAAGTAAAACATGTCCAAACACAACCAAAATAATCCATCTTTAAACTGAAATCTTTACCACACCGTGTTCTAAATTTTTATTTTATACTTTGTATCAGTCGCCATGATGCTGAACAACACTGGTCCGACAACGAAGAATCCTTTTACATGTCCTGACTGGATTGCCACCTTTGTGCTCAACCTCTCTCTCCTTCCTTTCCCTTTAGAAATCAAGTCATCCGAGCGTGTTTTCATGCTATGCTTTGAGATGTGAAAATGCACGAAGCGCTTTTGGATACTATCTTTGTTACGTTGGATTGCCTGTGTCAGTGTCTACATTCACTCCAACTCGTGCTCTCGAGTGACTCTTGCGTGTGCCTAGTAGGCAGGGTTCGAAAGCCGATTAATGTTCCTAGAAAAGCATGTGGTCTTTGTCAGATTTTTCAAAATTGAAATACTGCTTTCTGGAAAATAGTTTTGGAAAATTTTGAAATCTATTAGTGGTTGGACCGCTGGCCAAGAGGCCAGGAGGGGGACTAGGTTGTGCCTGGATGTGCGAGCCCTTTGGATGTGACTAGCTTTCGGTAGAAACCCCTTGCATGTTTCATGTGTGTCGGCTATATTGGTTACAGTGGGTTCTCTTTTCAATCCTCTCGTTTAAAAAATGTTCTATTGCGGGGCATTTAATGAAAATGTCATGTCCATAATTGTAATTGCGAGAGAATGGTGTATTATCGACATTTCCGCAGATTTCTGATTGGAAATCACTCATTTCTTAGGATATTCACAGCTGAGAGTAAGATAGCCTACCGCATGAGACGGCATGGCATTACCATCAACAATGAGACTTCTACTCCCAATAGATGCCCTCTCAGTAGGGGCTGGAAAATATATGTCAAATCCATCACGTTTCAGTTGGGAACGGCATCGCATCGACATTGTTTCGTTCCCAACCCTTCTCTAACAGGAAATATTCCTTGCCAATTTGTGCGCGTGTGTACATACACTTGTGTATATATGATGATTGAGCTTTAAGTATGCATACGGCTCGCAACCTACGCGGCTGTTTGAAGACTGTCCCCAAATCTCGCGGCCCCTTTCTCATTCCAAGAGCTCCATTCGTCGTAGTTCGTTGTTATTTGCCGGTATTCTATACGCACCTCTTTTCTTTCCATGAAAACTCTTTCCTCCTGTCTCCTTCTGTATCTCCTGTCTTGTTTATGCCTGGTTATTGTTGGCTGTGTTTTGTTGTGCTGCGTGTGTCGTCCTGTCTCGCACTAACTTTCTTTTCTTTCTCTCTCTTTTTCTGTGCTGTTTCATTGGCTGTGTGGTCATAGGCTTACCGAATGGTAAGTGTTTCGTTTACTTACAAACTGCCAATTATTTTAAAGTTTCCTCTCTGTTGCGGGTTTATGGGTCTGGCTAAGCAAGCTAATCATTTGGGGAGAAGCCACTCCCGTTTCATCGGCAAAAGCCGACCCTTAATATGTGACCATATTCAATTGCATCGCAGTTTGGGCCTCTTGACTCGTCCAGACATCTAGTGGAGAGTTTGAAAACGACAATTTTGTCAATGCGTTACAATTCAACTTTCAATGATTAATATTTTTTGTTTTATTTCATTGGTGTGCTTTGACTGTCGTGTTGCTTTGAACTGTCTTTCTAAAGTGTTTTCTTCTTGCTGTCTTTGGTGTTTTCAGGACAAAGTAAGTAAAACTTAGTCTGGGTAGACACAGCATGTTAGTTTGACCGCTTTTCGTGTTTTAATTAGATGTAGCGTGCACTGTGTGAATCATCCGTATATTTTAATATTTTATTCGTACACGTGTACTGCTTGCATGACACTGCCGACCCGCAATGCTGCACACACGGGGTTCGAAAGCCATCCTCTCGAAAGGCAAAACAAAATATGGCACTTGTCTGGAAAATGAATGGTAAATTTCGAACCTTTGGTCGCACAGCATGGGTAGCCTGGCCTGTCTTCTCCTTCCATCCCCCACCCATCCAAAACACCTGTGGTATTCGAACTTCACGGCCTTCCCTACGCCTTTCCTCTTCCCAAAACAAAATAATAACTTTGAACGCCTTTAACTCTTGCACTGCAACCATTTATCGACACTTCTAAACTGATAACTCGGACACTTGTGTGAAAAGACACGTACTGTAGGGAAAAATCATAACTCTAGGAAGTTCTTCCACGTTCATAGCGTCTCCTTCTCCTTCACTTTATAAATAAAGTATTCTAAAAAAAAAAGTTTGCAAAGGTAGACATGAGCACCCCACAGTTTGTACGTGCACTTATGTCTGCACATCCTACAGCACTTGCTTCAGTCTCATCTCGCAGAAGCTCTGAAAATGATAATCTGGAATTTGGGTCGATAAAGCAAAGTCGAGTCTTGCGCTGCCCCCGCCTGGCTTGCGTTTGAGAGGACGCTCGCCTCACTGTCACAGTGTCACACACTGCAGCATTCTGCTTTGCCTTCATTTTCCTTAGATGTTCAAACGGGCCCTCGCCCTCCCCACTGGTACACAATGTTTTCCAACTCCGCGTGGCGCACACGCTTTCTCTCTCAGGGTTCGTCCACATATTACCGAACGTCCTCTTTCTCTCTTGAACTCACTGGCAGTCCGTGTGGAGCAACAAGGAGAGTGCTGTGAAAAACGTTACCTAATAAGTGGACGATCCCTTATTGAAACGTTCCTAGCGTCTGTAAGCTGGTTCTGTAAACTGTAAATTTGTGCTCCCAGTAGTTTAATCCTGTCTGTGCTGCGTGAGTTCCACCAGCCCGGATTTACTCGTACGTCTAGATCCCTTTCTCGTCGATGTCAATCGGCAATTATCTTTGATGTACCAATTCAGTAAGCAAAGTGTAGTGGAGATTGCCATATGTTGAATTACTAACTACTACGCTTCATTGTAGGATTACGTCCGTTGAAAGTAGTAGATGAATTGTGTACTCATCGAGGGGTAGTCCATGAGTAGCAAAGCGGGTAGTCATATTGGACTAGACATGTTGATTTGCTCCAAGCTATGAAACGAATTCTAGACGTACGCCCAAAAACGTAGACCTGTGTTTACCAGAGATAAAATAAAAGCGAGAATCGCGTTGGCTGAAAGTGTCCCTGTGGCGGCCGTGCGCATCGTTTGAACTTGTCCCGCTTCCGCGGTTTCCGCAGGCCTTCGCGTGGTTCAGCGACCTCCTGGTCGAGCACGCTGAGATCTTCTGGGGGTTCTTCGCCGTGGACATGGACCAGGTGCTCGCGGAGCAGCAGCCGGACACGTGGGACTCGTTCCCGCTCTTCCAGATCCTCAACGACTACCTCAGGGCGGACGGTAAGTACACTGTTAAATTGAAAAAATCCAGGAGTGTGTGTTAGGAAGCTCCGTCCGTAGTCTCCCAAAGCTGCCTTTTTCGCAAAGATTTTTTTTTTCGAGTTTTCAACCATTTTTGCTGGAAACTCGCTTAAAATAGTAACTTAAGGTTTTGGAATTTTCCGAAGATACCAGGGATTTTTTTTTTTCAAAGAAGTTATTCGGAGATTTCCAAGATTTTTAAAATGAGTATTCGAAAATGCGACAAGAAGGGTTCTGTTTTTGGCGCGTGGTTTCACGGCTCCCTCGTCTCGTTCCGTTGCAGACAACCTGAAGAACGGGCGTTTCCACCAGCACCTCAGGGAGCTGTTCGCGCCACTCGTGGTTCGATACGTCGACCTGATGGAGTCGTCCATCGCGCAGTCCATCCACAAGGGCTTTGAGAAGGAGCGGTGGGAGCTGAAGGGGTGAGTATGGCGGAGTTCGGCCCGGCCCGGCCCCCCTCCCTCCACGCCCGGGTAACTCCCCGACTCCCTTTTTCTTGAATGCTACTCGTAGATTTTGGAAAGTAACTCGTGTGTTACGTTGTTGGCTAGGAGCGCGCAGAGTGCAGGTAAAACTCGAGACGCGCGCGGCCCTTTGGTCTTTTCTTTTCATTCTTTCTTATCTTTTGGAACGATCACTGCGTATTTTAGCCGAAGCGGTAGCGGTATCAGCGCACGGGGTCGCTCCCCAAGTCGTCCAGGTTTCCTTTTTCCTCTCTTAGTTTTTTTGGTCGTAGCGTTGGCTACTCTGGGCTGGGATTCACGGGTATGGCACGTCGGGAATCACAGAAACCCCGGGGAAGCATGTGACTTTGTGACACAACAGGGGAAATAAATTCAAATTAAAAGTTTGTGAAAAGTCGGAGCCTTATTTAATGTTGGCATTTTGGAAAATCGATGGTAAATTTTGTGCTTTGTGTAACTTGATAAGTTTTTGGAAATATTAAGTCGAGTTTTGAAAATTGTATTTGATCTGATTTTCCCCCTTAATTTAAAATAAATCTCGGTGGTTAAATATTTGAGTTATTTCTCCTTGTTGTGTTGATCATGGTAGTCTGGTACGGTACAGCACGAAGGTCCCTTGCCCCTCACACACCCCCTAGTGCTAGCCTCGCACTCCGTTTCCGCCTGTTTCCACCCTCGCCTTGCCGTGCCGTCACTGTAAGCCTCACCACCTCCACAGGAACGGGTGTGTGACGTCAGAAGACCTCTTCTGGAAGCTAGACGCGCTGCAGTCGTTCATCCGTGACCTGCACTGGCCGGACGCCGAGTTCCGGCAGCACCTGGAGCAGCGCCTCAAGCTGATGGCCTGCGACATGATCGAGTCGTGCATCACGCGCACCGAGTCGGCCTTCCAGTCGTGGCTGCGCAAGGGGGTCACCTTCATCTCCACGGACTACATCATGCCGTCGGAGATGTGCGCCATGGTGAACGTGATCCTGGACGCCAAGAACCAGTCCTTCAAGCTATGCGCGGTAGATGGCATTGATGTGGTATGGTATTCTGCTGGTTTGCCGCCGATCCCGGGTCCGACAGCGTTTTCTGAACTCGTCTCATTTCTTGCTCTGTTACAGCATCAGTACCACACTAAGATCGACGACCTGATCGAGAAGACGCTCACCAGCATGAGCCAGGGGCTGATCCAGAAGCTGGTGTCCGTGCTGGAGGCCACGCTGTCCAAGCTGGGCCGCTACGACGAGGGCAGCCTCATCGGCTCCATCCTCAGCTTCACGGTGCGGCAAAGCCGGGCAAACTCACCCCCTTTCTCAAAATTATGTTTATGCAATTAAATCAAGGAGTCTGCCACTTCTTGCCCTCATTGTGCACTCATTATTACTCGGGACACCCCTTTAAAACATGCATTTTATTTTTATTTTATCCAGAATGTTTCGGGATCCGGAAAAGAAATGGGGCAGGCGTACGTCAACTTTGCTCGAAATGCCATGGATCAAATTCGCAGCAAAATAACTGATGAGCTTTGGATCCTCACTTTCTTTGAGGTATGAAAGCTGTTCAGTTACTATTAGTTTCAGTCATATCAACTGCAATATTTACACAATTTGGTGTCTCCTTTAGCAATGGTACACGCAGCAAGTGCAAGTTCTGTGCAACTGGCTGTCTGAAAGGCTGGACCATTCCCTGCACGTGTTCCAGTGCCAGTGCCTCTCCATCATCGTAAAGGTGAGGCCAAAGTTCCATCGTCCAGCAACACCAGTCCTCCACTTTGGCATGCAATACTAACTGAGTCATTTGGTTTCCAGAAAATGTACACAGACTTCGAGCTACAGGGAGTCATCGAGGACAAACTCAACTCCAAAACCTACCAAACAGTGGCCAGCCGAATGCAAACGGAGGAGGCAACATGCGCTCTGACCATGAGCCAGGCGGACGAGTATGTATTTCCTTCCTCATGGTGTAGACGTAGTCACTATTGTCAAGTCCATAGAGGAAAGTAACGTTTCATGGCCCAAGTTCGAGTATGTTGTGCGAGAGCACTGCTGTATTACTCCTGACACTATTTTGAGGACCATTTCGGCCGCAAACAGCCAAAAAGCCAAAAACTGGATGGCTTTGCGGGCTGGCCTACCTCCGAGGCGCTCCATGACCCATTTCTCTAATCGTTTGCTCTTCTTCTTTCGTGTGCCCCTGCAGCTTCGCCGACACTGGCATGGACGACGACGGCGAGAGGAGCAAGCCCAAGGTGACCATCAGGGAGACGATCGGCGAGGACGGCAACGTGGTGGCCAAGCTGAGCAACCTGACCACCAACGTGGCCGGCAGGATGGGCGACGTGGTGGGCAAGGGCTTCGGCGGCCTGGCCAGCAAGTTCGGGGGCGGCGGCAGCTGGTTCTAGACTGGCCCTACACTAGCTCCAGACTGGCACACTGACAACCTTGGCGGCCGAGGGCGAAGGCCGAGACTCGCAGCCTCTGTTTCTATTTTTGATCGTCAAGAAATGTATTCCGCTGTAAATTGACCAGACTTTTCCTTGAAATGTTCTGTATATTTGATATTGTTGCGTATATCTCAGCAGTGTTTTATATTTTTATCCATGCACTGCAAGATATATGGAAAACTTGGATAGAGATAAAGCCCATCATTTTGATAGAACGAAGGAAAATTATGGCCAATTTGTGCGCTCCTGCACTATGTTTTCTTGCAGTGATTAATTGTGATTTTCGGACCGTCCAGGTCCCTGAGTCCGACGTGCTCTCGAGAAATAGTTGAGAATAGTTTAGAGGAGGGCACAAAAAGTATCAGTACAATACGTCTTGTGTACATATTATAAATACCTCTAGAGCGCCTCCCAGGTAGGCCAGTATGAGTACGAGTGCGCAACATCTAGTTCAAGTAGGGGTAGGGTTTTATTGTGTTGCGTATCGTAGTGTAAATATTGTTAAGCTGGGTTTTTTTCTTTAAGCCCTTTGCTATGTATATACTTTTTGTTATTGACAAAATTACCTAGATAACAAAGTGCTGTTTAAAAGTTTTTTTAAACGTGTTGAAAGTTGCTATGAATTTTACAATGTATGAAAAAGGATGATAATTTGTACTTACACTGACAAAGTGATTTGTTATTTAAAAGCATTGTTGTGGACAGGCCGCGGCGCAAAACGGCGAAGAACGTCTATTGTTCGATCTATCTCTACCTATCTATCTCTGAAATTCTCCTAACAAGCAATTTATGAGCTACTCTATTTCTGCCTATTTTCTGAATCTATGTCTTTGCCATTCATATGGCGAAAAAAAAATGAGTATTTTCTTCTGGTTTTCTGCTGTTTCAAGCTAGACTCAGATATTCTTCTCAACCATATCCCTAGGGCAACCTTTTCTGTCAAATCTTACTTCTATTTCAGAATCTAGAATACTTTTCAAATTACGTACTTCTTTCTCTTATTATCAATCTTGCCAAACTGTAGAATATTTGCATGCTTTTACCAACTTCAAGTGAAATTGATCAAACTAAGCCTTTTGTGGGTGGGAAAGGAGATTGTATCTTGTGAATGATATAGAAAACATATAATGCACCACTGCTGGTCTTGTCAGCTGTTGTTATGCTTCCCTTGGCGTTTTTCAACAGCTGATGACATGTCTCTATATGGTTTTTCCTCTCCACAAATGGTTTTATTCTTGTCAGGTTCAACTCTCCTATTGCCTGTCCTCAACAGAACTATTGAAAATATGGGAAAAGAACGCGCCGTCCTGTTCAAGAATAAAGGGCAGATATGTCTAAATTCAAGGGAATCATTTTTTTCCCCGATCGCAGCATGTATAGTTCCAAAGCAAAGCAGGATCTCATGATAATATTATCTATAGATTCTCTCGACAAAAATTTCTGATGATAAAGCATTTTTAAAATGTCTAGCTAAAAGTATAGTTTGGTTGTTCTGTTCTGGTTTTAGAGAAATATAACAGTTTGTTGAAGCTCTGCATGAAATGTACTTGTTACGCTGGTTGCAATAATAATTATTTAAAGAAAATTTTATTTTAAGACAGTAATGACATGTTTTGTACGTATGAATTTGTTTGTATTATACTTGAGGTTTTGCGTGATGCCTTTGCAAATGTTAATGGCTGCAAAATGCACATCACGAGATAATAGGAGACTGAGTGGCCCTTTCCCCACTTGTGTGTATCCTTCATTTTAAATTGTAAATTTTATGAATCAGGGTGCTGGATCTCCATGAATCAAAACGGGGATTCTCTTTCTATTCTTCATAATGTTATTTCCACTGATGATTGTAGCTCCACACACCCTGATTGAGTGGAAACAAAGACGGATTTCTCTTATGCTTTTGTGGTACTTTGTAAACCAAATTTTTCCTATGGCATTTTACATTAGGCTAGGCAATTATAGAAAACCCCAAAATCAGCGAAAGCAGAAGTTCCGATTATATATGCATTATATTTCATTTCCAATTTTGTTTACAATATAAGTATTCACATTACTTCCATTTAAAATGAAGCCTATTGTAATGCAGACAGAGTTTGCAACGTAGAGCACTTAACACCTCTGGGAAACTTTCAGTTAACTAAGCATATCGTCTTTCGTGAGTATTTCAAAACGTTGGAATTCAGATTTAGTTGGGGCTAAATTATTTGTTTAGCCCTGTTGTTACTGTAGTGCATTCTATATTTTCATGTATCATGTTCATCAAAATGTAACTGTTTCTATTGAAGAGTTATTGCTCTGGGAAGAAAGTCTTAACTGTGCAAACACCATTCAGAACCTTTCCCTCTATTTATCTCCAAAAATTTTGTTTCATCGGCATGTTTAGATTATTTAAAGCGCATACTTCATTTCTATTGGTCGCAGCAATCATACACTCTTGCTGAACTCAGTCTGGTTTCGTTGGGTTACAGTGGTTCTCTTTTAAGAATCTTACTGCCTTATGGGTTATCAATCATATTATTTGTCCTTAGAACTTCTGCTAAAAAAAAATAACAATTTTCCTAACCCATCACCCTCCGATATTGTGTGTGGCTTGTGATTCCTGACTAATTGTTTTCAAACTCTTAGGCGGACCTTGTATGTTCTTCTGTGCTTTGCCCCTTGTTACTTCCGCATCTAATTGGCAAAACCTTTTCTGGTACTCTGAGGAGGTATGGACAACATATTACAATTAATATGTTCCTGAAAAACTAAATAACCCCTGTAAAGAGACTTTTCTCTTCTTGCAGCCTAATTTCTAATGTTTGCTGGTGTACCATCGTTTGTCAGTCAAAATTTCTTAACAAATTTCTGAAATTAATGTATACTTAAATTTTCATGGTGTCTGTCGACAAAAAAACAAAAAAACAACAGATTTCCTACCTATCAGAGCTGTAACATCAAAAGTTTTGCAATCTATGATAGAAAGGCAAAGTGATAATTCCATTTGACTGCACGACGAAGGACTGAATCCCCTCAAAAATGTTTAGCTTAGTTCGTGAGAAACTCTCACTTATTTAACCAGATAAATTTGAACCATGGCCATTTTGCTTAAATTGTATGGTGCATGATTACATTCAGCATGAGAGTTTAGTTTGTTATGTGGAAAAACTACTTCTCTCTACAGGTGTTTTGTTCAGTAATATAGTAATAATGCAATACACGTAAGGATGAATGTTTGAATGCTATTTGTGCATGTGCGATGGAGGACACGTTTACTTCCGACGTTGATTCCTCGAAACAGTTTTCCCGACCAATAAAACGATTGTTTGTTGCCTAATATGATGTGATTTTCCCCCTCCAAATTCCAGTTGACACAAAACAAAGGTATTAGGTCCCCCCCCCCCAGGTAGGATGGGTTGTCTTCTTGGAGAGGCACATAAAAAGAAAGATAATATTTTTAAAAAACAGCAAATAGTGCTTTTTTTATTAACAATAGAACAAAAGAATTCTGATTTCCAGATGATGATACAATCTGTTTGACTTTTGATAAACGTGTGTATGCAACAAGAAGTAGCATCCACAACATTTATCATACTGTATCAGTATCACAATATAACTTAACAATTCAGATACTTCATGCAGAATATTGGCACTGAGGATCACTAACGATGTAAATTTCTTTTACAGCCATGATGTGACTCATGCATTAGATTCCAGGCAGACGCATCGAATATGATTTTGTTTTGAGAAGGAATTACCTTCCACAATTTTAGCATCTCGCTAGACGTGAAGATTTAACAATAGAGTAGAGTTTGTTGAAAGCAGAACAATCTTTGTTGGGCAAGGATGTCTCATTCATTTTTACAGAAGACAGTACTTAAAACAGTAGTAATTAAAGACAGAAAAAAGAAAAAGAATTGTCACAGAAACTGGACATACCTAAGATCACAACTGAGTTAGTTTCCAATAATTTAAAGAGGCTGCCTACCTCTTGAGATCAGTACAACTTTTAAATTACAATCCCATAATAAAATAATAATAACATGAAATCTGTACATGACTCAACCACTTGCAGACAAAACTGCACACGAGCTCTTCAGTGACATTATTTAAACATGTTAACTCACAGATACCATTACAATTAAAATAATGGAAATGCACGACTATATCATGCAATAAGTTCACACTCATGCTGAGGAAAAAATGATTAAGATATGATCAACAAACAATTTAGATCAGAATACAGCCATAATGGTCATTCAGAAAAACTTAAACAAAAAGACCAAAGATGAATAACAGGCAAAGCAATCCACATCTATCACACCATCCACATTTCTTGGAATATCTAGTTCCAATATGTACAAGGACATAACAATTAACATAAATAAGTGACTTCATAAGTTACATAATCAATGGCTAAGACTAATTAATTACATTGGCCTCTTAAGGAAAAGGAATCTGTACATAAAAATTTATACATTATAATACACAGGCTCAGCCCATCTGTTAAAAATGTCACAAGTAGATTCGTCGCAAATCTGTAGGTGATGTTATCATGTTGCACTGAGGACAAAGCTTTTTAGCTCCCTGAAAAAAGGAAGAAGAAGAAACAAGTTAACCTTTGCAAATGGTACTAATATCATAGAACTCAGCAAAATGTCAAAGCTAATGTAAAAACTCACCAAAGTGTGTAACCAACACTGTTCACAATGAACATGCCAGCAGCAAATTGATATGGCAGGTTTCTTGTATCGTTCCTGAAAAATAAGAGCAAAGACGTATAAATAAAGGTTTCGACCATTTCAATTACAGGTTACAGAGCAGCGTCACACTTACCATACAAATGAGGCACTTGAGTTTGTCCACGGTGGCGGCCTTGGACTCCAGCTCCAGCTCCCGGATGCGTCTCTTGAGTGCCTCCAGGGTGGGGTTGGCGGCTGACCCTTCGGCGCCGCCCTCGGCCGGCGGGGTCATGTGCTCGTCGCCGTCCTTGTCCTTGGCGTCGTCCTTGAGGTCGTCCGCGGTGGAGGACGAGGCCACGTCGCCGGCCGTCCTGGGGGTGGCCGGGGTGGCCCGGCCGTCGGGGCTGAGCACCGCCTCACGCAGCGCGTCGCGCTCCGGCTCCTCCGAGCTGGGGGGCACCACGTCGGCCTCGGAGTACTGCGACGGCCCGTAGGTCGCCGTCTCGTCGCCGTCCACCACCAGCTCGCTGTCGTCCTCCTCGGCGCCGCCCCGACTGCTCGACGTCACCATGCCGGCGCCTGCAAGACCACCACAGATCAGCCACTGTTGAGCCACCAGTGGGCCAGAAAACCGCTGGAGGCGGTCAAAATCCCGGACGCGTTTTGAGCTCCAGAGTCATCTAATGGGACTCGAACCGAACGTGTGACCCCACCAATGGATTGCTCTCCGAACGAGGAATCCATTGGTGGGGTCACGCGATCGGTTCGAGTCCCATTTAGCGACTCTGGAGCTCAAAACGCGTCTACAGTGTGAGCGAGGCGCCCGGAGGAGCCAGCGCCGCGGCGTCGATACCCCAGCGCTCGGGCTTGGGAGTCTCCGGCGCGCGGAGTATCGTCGCGCCGCGGGGGTGTGGGACAGTGTGGGAGTGAAGGATGCTTTACCTGCGTAGCCGCCCTGCAGCAAGGTTGAGGCGCGTATCCGCTTCTGGCCGGCCCACTCGTACTCCTCGAAGGTCTCCGAGTCGCCCTCCACGTCCACGTTCTCGTCCTCGTCCACGCCGCCATTCTGGACAACAAAGTCAAAAATTACACTCCAGAGACAGAACATGCGGAGGAATGGTTATTTTCCCGCCCTTGCTACTGCACTGTAAAGAGGCCCAGGTGGCGACCGACCAGCCTTGGCAAGACTGGTGGGAGCTGGCGGCGAAGCCGAGGGGTATCTCCGCAGCCGAATCCCTGTGGCGTGGGGTATACACACGGAAAGTTAGAAGACTACTGGCGTCTCCGGCCGTCGAAGTGAATGAGCAATGCTTAAAGCTTGCCAGCTTCTTTTTCGGGGAAAACAGGTCCACAGACACTGTAAGCGCCTGCAGCTCTGAGGATAGGCCAGCCCGCCGAGCACCTGCGCGTTGGGTTGCCTACCCTAGGTTCGCAGGCGTCCGATTCCAGTGGTGCTAGCCAGCTGGAGGAAAACCCCTCCCGTCCTCACCTTCCGCAGGCAGTGCTCCACGTGCAGGTTGAGCTCCTCGACGGAGCCCTGGAAGCGCTCGTTGCAGACGGGGCACGTCGCCTCGTCCGCCTTCCGCTTGCGGTTCTTGATCCGCAGTCGACTCGTCCGGTTGGCTTTGATCCGCTGGTACGTCTGCAACCAACAAGCGCACACTCAGTGACGAGGACACACTGTCAACATTTCGGTCGTCGCTTCATCGCAATTCAAAGGTTGCTCCTACAGTAGAAAATTGAGCAAATTGGTGGACGGTTCTCACCTCCCAGCGGCCCTCCGCGGTGCCGTCCGCCGTGGAGCCGATGTTGCCCGGGCGCGCGGGGGCGGTGTTGGCGGGGCCCGGGCCGTGCGGCGGGCCGTGCGACCGGCGCGCGCGCCCGGCCGGCGACATCTTGAACAGGCGGTCCAGCTCCTGCAGGAAGTGCGACTCCAGCTCGCCCGCGCGCACCGTCACGCCGCACACCGGGCAGCAGGCGGGGTCCTGCACCAGCTTCTTGCGCCCTGCGACAGGAAAAAAAAAGGACCGTTCAAGTGGCGTGTCGTGTCATCGAGGCAGCACAGTGGGTCAGAGGACCGGCGCAGGCGGCCAAAACTCTAGACGCGTTTTGAGCTTAGGGGAGATCCCACAAAGAATCGCCATTGCATTGCATTTTTCTTGCATATTCCTTGATAGGCCTATCATCCATTAAAATTTTAAAGTTTATTCCACATTGTGATCTCTGACTCTGTCACGTCCAGGGAAAGAGTTGGCGGTCGTCAAGCAACTTCTGAACGCGATGGCATGTCAGAGTGGCAATGCCATGCTGCCCATTCCCTCGGCAGTGCATGTCTCCATGTCCTCGTCTCATGACTGCGCATTCGGCGCGTCTCGTCACCGTGGGCGTTGCCGCGCTCACCGCTCACTCGCACGGTGCCGGCAAAACGGGCGAGACCAGAGACAACCACCGCCGGGAGGAGGGGGGTGCGATTGATAACACGTTCGTCACGTTGGTCACACTGGCGGCGCGGCGGCACAGCCATAACAATAAAACAGGAGTGCCAATGCTACAGGGCAGCCGCGCACGCTGGAAGGACAGACGGACGGGCAGACAGACAGACAGACAGACAGACGGGCAGGACGGGTGTGCAAGGGCGAGTCTGGAAGCTCTTTGGCCCGGGAAATTCTCCAGCAGCTGCCGGCTGCCTGGAGAGGGGTCGGGCGAGAGGGCGGGTGCTTAAAGATGGCCGACCTCTTCCTCGAGTTGCAGCAGCCCTCCAGCAAGCTCCAGCAACCTTTCAGAGCAAGCTTCCAGCAAGCTCCAGTAAGCTTACAGCAAGCTCTTGTAAGCTTCCAGAAAGCTCCAGTAAGCTTCTTCCAAGCTTCCAGCAAGCTTCCAGGAGGCCCCGGCAGGGATAATCTCGGCCGGATTCTCCTTTCCCCGCCTCGCAAAGCACACCGCTGGAGAGAAAAATTCGCCGACATTCCGCAGCAGCGGGACGGCGGGGGAGGGGGGGGGACCCGGGGGAGCGCATAAGTAGTCGCCTCGGCGCGCCGTGCCCGGCCCTGCCCCGCCGTGCCTGGGACCTGGGACGCAGTGCGCCGTACGCAGTGCCAGCCACTTGCAGTGCCGCTGCGCCGCTGTGCCCCGCCCAGTTGCCTACCCACCGGGGCCACGGCGCAGCAGCCAAGCGCGGCGCTCCGAGGTGGAGGGCGTGGCCTCGCGGCAAGCCCGGCACGGCAAGCCCCACCCCCTCGGCGGCCCCGCCCCGCCCCAGACTCGGCGCGGGCCGCATGCAACAACACACCTGCCAAGCGAGGAAGCTCTGCCTCTAGCTAGGGCACACTGGTAAAACTACAGCCAAGTTCTTCGCTTTCGCTTCATCCCACTACAGACATTTGAAGCAATTCGAAGGAAAAATTGAGAGCGAACTCCGAGGGTCGTTCAAGTGACGAGAGCGAGAGCCAGGTGGCCGCTTGGCGGTGGCGGCGCCCAGGAAGGCACACTGCCCGCCCCGGGTTCGGAACGACGAGCCTGATGAGCAACTAAGCGGCGTGCTCAAGGACCAAACGGTCAAAACAAAATCGAAAACAACAAAAACAAAGTCACGTAATACTTGAATCCTTTTAAGGCGCGGCAGCGCGTCGCGTCGCGGGGCCGCTAAGCCGAGGCGCCGAGTACGCGGGCCGCGGCGGGCCGGGCTGTGGAAACTCGATCAATGCCATGAATCGGCACGGCCACAACAGGTGGCATCAACACCGCGCCCAAATGAGACGCAGCCTCGCTCGGTCGCGCTGTCTCTCTCGCACTCACGACACGGGCCGTGGGGGAGCGAGCGAGACAGAGCGACGCCGGCCGCCGGGCCCTCATCGATGTCCATTTGGTGGCGACCGCGCCGCCCCGCCTCGCCCCCTGAACGATACGACCCGCCGTTTGCCGCCGATATATACTAATGTCATTATACGACAAGGTCCCGGGTTCAAACACCCGCCTCTTCACTTCGGATTTCGCTTTTCTTTTCTTGTTTTTTTTTTCGGGTGGTGGTGGCGGCGTTTAAGCCTCCAGAAAGGAAGCGCAGTAAGTACCGTATCGTCATCACGGCAATCGGAACGGCATCAGCGAGGCTCCAGTCGCTCCAGCCGGACTCCAGCAGGCACTCGTGCCGGAGTACCGGCAGCCCGACGCCTTCTCTCTGTCTCTCTCTCTCGCACTCATGGGGCGTTCCACAAAGGTGCGAGAGAGACAGAGCGACGCGAGAGAGGTTCCGGAACCGCTCCGAGTGTGGCGTTCCGGCATGCTTGTTCCGAATCACAAAAGTCCTCCCGAAGCGTTTTGTGAGCTCGGCGCGCGGCAGAGCCGAGCAGAGCGCCGTGACGCCGAACAGGTATTTCGGTCGGGGCTCGCCTCGCCGGCTTTGCGGGTTAAGGAAGCCAGCCGGGATTGAGGACAATGGGCAGGGGGGGGGGGGGGGGGTCGGAGCCAATCCCATCTGATAAAGCCATGCAGGGAGGGGCGATCGCCCTCGCCTCGGCCTCGCCTTGGCCGCCACGCCGATCAAAGCCCAAATGCATTCCGACGGGCCAAACCAAAATGCCTCCCGGGCCATTTTGTCGGCAGCACTGTTCCACAAATAAGGAAAAGGCGGGCCGGCCGGGACGACGGCGGCGACAGAGACGTCACGTGCCGTCTCTCTCGCACTCGCGGGGCGTCCCGCACGGGTGCGAGAGAGACGGAGAGCGGCGGGGCGGGCCGCGACATCAATCGTCGGTGACAGATTGCTCGCCGGACGCGGGGCTGGTCGCGGCGCTGGAAGGCACCAGTCGCTCCAGTGACGGCCGGCCGGCCCCACGCCGCCGCGCTGCCTGGAGCGGACCGGGTACCGACTCCAGATTCCAGGCCGCGAGTAGCCGTCCCCGCCCCCGCGCCGCGCAGAAACCATTTCCCCAGTGACTCAGACGAATCCCGACATTTTAAGTCGTACCCCGCCGGCAGTGGCACGGCACGGCACGGCCGGGGAGGGCCGCAGGCAGACAGACCGGCCGACAGACAGACAGCATGAGACGCTTTGATTTGTGACCACAGCCCGATCCGAGGTCGAGTCCGCAGAGATGCCCTAAAGCCCGCACGACATATATATTTATATTGTAACAGGTGAGCCCCCCTTCCCCTCTCCCCTCCGGGCCACACAGTCCGGCCCGCCGCCGGCCCCGGACGCGCGAGCATAATTTGACCGAACAGCAGATTGAGAACTAACTGTCAACCCAGTGATAAACTTAGTCACAAATTTACTGCCACATTACCTTCGCCGCCAGCGAGGCAGCGAGGTGGGGCCCGCGGCCTCCATAAAGACGGCCGACGGCCTGGACAGCGAGTCAGCGGGTCGGGAGCAGACGGAGACAGCGCACAGTGGGCCAGAGGACCGGTGCAGGCGGCCAAAACTCTAGACGCGTTTTCAGCTCCAGCGTCGCTAAATGGGACTCGAACCGAACGTGTGACCCTACCAATGCATTGCTCTCCGAACGAGGAATCCATTGGTGGGGTCACAGTTCGGTTCGAGTCCTGTTTAGCGACTCTGAGCTCAAAAAGCGTCTAGAGTTTCGGCCGCCTCCACTGGTTTTCTGGATCACTGTGTGACGGGCAGCGAGCTGACGGACACACCCACACGGCCCGACTCACTTCAATCGGACTCCAAAACAACACCCCCTCCCCGAGCGTGCTTTTCCACGCGTAAAAAACACGGGTCGGTTTCACGCCGCTTCGCGTGCTTCGCCTGCAAGCAGCACCTGCACTGGCAGCACCTCCACTGTAGTCACAAAGTGTAATTGATTTTTATGGCTCCGTTCCGGACACTCCCGGCAGCGGAGCAGAGCGGCAACGGCCCACTTCACCACGCCGGGACCGAACACCAAACGCGCCGTGGACTCTCCAGTTTACACGGCCATCATAGAAACCTCATCGGCCAGTCCCTGAGTCCCCGCGGGGACGCCACGCCACCATCAAAACGCCATTCCGACGGACAACACTTTCCAATGCCCCGCGGAGGGGGGCGCCCGTCCACAGTCAGTGTAGGCAAACTCACTGGCCGCACACACGCCGCCTGGCGGGTAGGCAATACCGCAGGCACGGCTGTCACGAGTTGCCTACCCCGAGAGTCGCAGGCGGCAGGCCACAAACAGCCCCATTTCATATTCGATTCTAACAATGCTTCAGTGTCCACCACGCGTTGCCGAATGCAGGAAGCTGTTGTTGCTGTGGAAGAGAGAGGTCCGCGAGTTTGGAGTGGGGTGAGGAGGGACAGGAGAGAGAGAGGGAGAGAGAGAGAGAGAGGGAGAGAGAGAGAGAGAGGGAGAGAGAGAGGGAGAGAGAGAGAGAGAGAGAGAGAGGGAGAGAGGGCGTCGCACAGTAGCACAGACAACACCTCGGGAGTCGGTAAGCCTCTTACCGGCCGGCCGTACGACCGATTACATCCAAAGCCCCGTCTTTATGGTGCGCGCTTCTTTTCTTCGCCACTACAAAGTCAAAATGAAGAGCACACAGCACAGCCTGGCCCGGCCGGCGGGGTCGGCAGCAGACCGATTCCGAGAGTCGTTTTCGTCGCTCTGTCTCTCTTGCACCTGTACGGAACGCTCCGTGAGTGAGAGAGAGACAGAGTCACGAAAACAACTCTCGGAATCAGTCAACAGGGCCGCCCGGTAAGGCTAGTGCTGCCGAGGCCCCGCTCCGCGCTCCGCCCTTCACACTTCAACTAATTAGCCTTCCATTGAGTAGGTGCGGGTTCGAATCCCCACAAAAACGATTTTTTTTCCCACCCTATCGATCTGCCACTGAGAAGTCGCAGTGGCAGAACCGAGTGTCCGCCTCAAAGCGAGCACCTAGCCCCAGCCTCACTAGCGCTACGAAACCCGTTCCCTGGGTCAAACACCTCGTTCGCTAAGCCCGGCCCGTCGAACGCTCGCCGCGCGTCCCCAAGACAAGTGCCGCCTGCACTTGCCTCGTCCAGGCACGTGCTGCCTCACTGTCGCC